AGCAGGCTGAACTGCAGCAGGCTGAACTGCAGCAGGCTGAACTGCAGGTTTGTTTGCTTTGCCATCCTTTGGGAACGATCAGCTCCGGAGAGGTGAGCCTTTGAAACACAAAACTGCCCCATCTTCAACGCAATCAGTTCAGGTCCGCAAACACAAAGCAGCACTGAGCTGCACCTTCCCCGGGTTCGACACCAGGGAACTCACAGCTGCTGAATGCCCAAGAAGCAGCTTCAGCGTAGATCAGGGGGTCAAAGCCACAGGGACCCTTCCCCACGCCAACAGCACCCTGCTTAATGAGGCTGCCCTCATTAAGACCGGTGTTTTGGTATCAGGTCGCTGGAGGCAGCCTCAGCTGCCAGCAAAGGAGAAAACATTGTGGTGGTTTCAATTCCCTTTCCTCCTTCTAGTGCAAGTTACACAGGTGAAAGCCTGAACACCTCATCTGTGTGTCCCTGGCAGAGAATTATCCCTTTTTATCAAGTTCTGCTCTGAAAGATGCCAGCGACAGGCTGCCACCAAGCCAGATTGGGATACATCACACAGAACTAGTTAGCCTGCCCTGAAAGGAGCAGACAGTGCTAAACTTCAAAACTCAAATCTAAGTCCTTGAGATCCTCGGACCCCAAAGCACAGAGCTCGAGTCCTCAGCTCTCTTACACAAAAAAAACAGTTAAAGAGCTCAAGAAAAAGTCAGGCCTCTCACTTTGGAAGGGACCTGGAGGCTTGTAAGTGAACATCAAGATCAGGGACAGGCCAGCAACGCAGCCCAGCTGCAGGTGGCAAAGCGCAAAAGGGACCCAGAGCCTTCAAGTCTCTCCTAAAGCCACTCGCGGTCCTTCTGCTTCCATCGCAAAGTTCGTTTTCTAAGCTACACGTTCCATATTTCACCAGGGAAATCCATCTGCACCATCACCACCCCCAGAACGCAGCAGCAAGCTCAGGCTTTGCTCAGAGCCACGCTGTGCCCAGAGGGGGCCGGGTCAGCCGTGGAGTTGGTGCTGCAGTCGATGTAGTGATACGTTTCCACCGAGCTCTGCGTCCTGCGGCCCATGTAGGAGAGCTTCACCGACGTCCTGAGGGAAAGGAGAGGGCCAGGGGTAAATCCCTCTGTTCAATGCAATCAGTGGGGCTTCGTGCTCATCTCATAAGTGCTCAGGTTTTGAGCAGACCCACCCAAGGGTGCTCGCTGCAAAGAGGTGAGCAGAGCTGCTGAGCCCAGCCCCAGAGCGCAGCACCCACCATGCAGAAGCTCCATTCAGAGCCAGCTGGCGTCTTCTGTTCCTCCCTATCTTACATTTTACCTGTGCCACCAGGCCTGGATTAAAGCTGACAGTGAACCAGGCTGGGCTGTTCGCTGAGCACAGTTTTCTCTGATTGCCCCAGCCTTGATGCAGCACCAGTTCCATTCTGAGTCAGGAGCAGAGCTAAACCTACCTCATGAAGATGACGATATTATGCACCTTCACCTTGGGAAACGTGCAGAAGAAACTGGAAGAGATGAAAAGAGAGCAAGTGGTCAGCATGGGCTGAGCAGCCTAGCAGAAATGACTGCGCTTCTTGGAATCTTCTGATGTAGTTTTACCTCTGGTGTTAACTCAGCATCCAAAACCCCAACACAACATCCTGACAAAGTGGCCTTTCAAGTCATTTCTAGCAAATGGTTGTTTTCCAGAAAGTGAGCACAAAGCAACTCATTTCCAAAGCAAGCAATAACTAAAGTGGCTCAAACCTACTGTACACAAAGAACAGTAAATCCTTACTACACATAGGAGAAAGGTCCTCCCATCTCCGCCTTCACCGTGAAATTCACCTGTAAGACAAAAACCCACTCGCTTGCAGTTTGATCACTCCCTTCCAAACCCCCCTGTCACAGTATTTCCTGCACTACATTGCATTGCAGCTGCTGTGCAGAGAGCACAGCCAGACTATTTGCTAAGCAAAGCTCCAAGGCACAGATGCAGTGCCCTCAAGTGAGCTTGAGATACCACACCAATTCCACACGTGATTTAGGGATGCTTGCAATGCACGCTGCAAAGGCAAATAAAGACAAATACCAGCTTGTCACTTAGTGGCTGGATGCTGGAGATGTTGGTGATCTGCTGGCTGCCCACCACAGTGTTCATGTACTGCACCTGACTGGTCAGACTGTCCACTGTCACTGAGTAGAAGTTGGAGTTCCTGATCTGCAAAGTGGCCTGGAAGGACAGCAGGGAGGCACGGGTAACAAGAACATTCCTGGCAGCTCAGCACAGGATTTTTCCCCTCACAAACAGGGATGCACAAAAACTTTACCGTGATGGCAAGAAGGACAACGGAGTTCTTCCTGTCGAACCAGACCTGAACCACCTTAATGCCGCCATCATCCACCAGGACAGAGTGCGGAAAGAGGAAGAAAACGACCAGCCCTGAGATCAGAAGGCAGAGCAGCACCGACAGGAGGACATAGAGCTTCCTGGAAGAGGCAGGAAATGGGTCACAGCCTTTGCCCTAACACAGCATCTGCAACTGCAAGACATCTTGTATCCGAAACCCAAACTTGTCAGCAAAACCAAGCATATCTGCTCTTCCCTAAAAGAGACACAGAAGTGCTGCTCTAACATTTTTCATATCTGAAATTGCTCAAAACAGCCACCCTTTACACAGTTCACTTTTCAGTAATGAGTAACCAAACAATCTTCCTTCGCCCCAAAGCATTCTCAGAATCTACAAACGGTGCAGCTGGGAATGCAGTTTCTTTCTAAAAGCTTCTGTAAAGAGCGCAAAAACAAAGTGTGTGAGTGGGACGACTGTTTCCACATTCACTCCCACGATGGGACTTAACAGAAAATATTTGAAGTGAAAGTTTAAGCTGTATTTGTTGGCACACTTCAGTGAAAACAAGGCATGAGACGAAGGAAAAGCTGCAGACTGCATAAAGCCCTGAGCTGCGGCATTCAGGGACAGAAGAGCACTGTCTGCTCTTTGCAAGGCTTTAATTATGCTTAATTATGCACTTACGTCCTCTGTGGACGGAGCCTCTGGTCGCTGTAGGGTATCAAAGCCACCAACTCATTTACCTGCTCTGCAAAGCAGAAGGAACACAGTGAGCAACTCCACGCGACTGCAAAACCTTTTAAGCAAGGAAGGAGCGTTGCTGCACCTCGCTTTTTTTGTGCTAAGGACAAAAGGAGCAGAGCACTCACCTGTGGGAATGCAGCCAGTGCCTTGGCAAGTGGGGCAGGTGATGCTGTCCTGACCTGTGAATTCAACGTATGGAAATTTGGCAATGTCCTCATTGCGGTCTCGGCTGTCGAGTAAATCATCATCACCATCATCATCCTCATCAGCCTTCCTCCTCCACCTGGAGGCAGCGCTGTCAGCAGACAGAGAAAGTGCAGAACCCATTGCAGCTGTGGAGGAAGAGCTGCACAGACAGCAGCAGAGAACTCAGTGCGTTTGGTGGCAGACAGAGAAACCCCACGTTGAACCACGGGCAGGAGAGGAAACGCCCCCCCTCCCTCCCCAAAACCCATTACAGACCCTCACACGCAGCCCCCCACTTTCACAGCCTTCTCCTATCAGAAAACCACCCACCCTCAG